CAATGTCCTATAACTGTAATAATTTTTCTGGCTTTTTGACTATGCGATAAGAGCCTTTAAAAATTCAGCCAAGCTTGTTAATGTGATACCCTTGATAAAAACCTTCTAACTGGAGGTGAAATAGACAATTCTCAATGTAATATAATAAGTCATTTGATAGATTAAAGCTTTGGCTTTCTGGTGGTTAAAAATGATATAGTATAAGATGTTGGAGAACTACTGGCAATATGTGAAAGAGAGGATGTGACAGTTGGGTGTGGCATGTGGGTCTGATTTACTAGTTTATGGATCTGTAAACAAATATGATGGATGGGTATAAAAATTTTGTTTTGCCTGAATAATAACTGTATTATAATGAGTAATTTACAAATAATTCTGTACTTCTGGGAGGGGTTGGTAACTAAATTTGAGAAGAGGGAAAACCTAGAGAGGAAATGCCACAATTGTCATACCAGAGAAGATTGAGGATTTTTCTACTCTTTTCTTATAAAATTAAAGTTTATATTAAAATTTAGTTTATTAACTATGCTATGATACCATGTTTATTTTTATACATTCATAATAAAGTAGTTTAATTAATTTTGAATTTACCTCTGTAAAAAAGGTTGTGATATTCACAGAAAAGGGTACACTTAGGGAAAAAGTTAAAGCCTAGAATCTCCCGTTTTTTTTGGGGTGGGGATTATTTACTTTAAGCTGTACCCCTGTTCAAGGTTGAGCAATAAAACTAAAATGAAAGTTTAAACAGTGTTTTAATTTGTATTTGGGAAGTAATCTGGATCTGCAATATATAATGCTGAAATTTCAGTTCTAGTATATTCTTGATTAGAATGTTAATGAAATGGAATTATATTTTTGAACGAGGTTAAAAAAGTTGTGTTGTGATTGTGCATTTTCATTGTCCTAAACACCTATTACTTTGGAAAGATTTAATAATATTATTATTTGATGTAAACAGTTTATTTACTTATTGATACTAATTGTTAGATGTTATATATTAAAAAAGAGAAAAATGTAACTTAATGAAATTAAATATTTCAATCCATTCGTATTATTCATAATTCAAGAAAAAATAGTTGATTGTTGATCGGGAGTAAAAGGAAAGACCATTTCATTTTTCAAAAAAGTGAAGTAAGAAGTTTCATAAAGAGCGTGAATGGTAGTGTGATGTAAAATTACTCATGCTAGAAATTTTCATAAAAGTGACCTGAAATTATTTCTTATCACACGGTCTTTAATATTCACCATAGTAACAGTTGGATGATGTCATTATTTGTTATCATTACTGTCTCTAATATACACCATAGTAACAGTTGGGTCTGTTGGGTCACCCACTATTCAGAGGTTAT